TGTTGGTTACTATTGCAAGACTTCAAGCGAGCGCCCCAAAGCCTGGAACCGGACCAAACATTTAAACAACAATGAGGGAAAGAGAAGAGGTTATGATGACGAGAATGATGAGTAGAGTAACAGGAGTCAGACTTAGAGGCAAAGGAAGAGCAACGGGTGGGTAATTGAGAAGATGAAAAGGAGCTATCAGATTGAAACTGAGGTTGGTTCATGGCTAACCGCCTGTGTTGTGAGTGGGACATCATGCAAAGAAAATAGGCAGTAAGAGTGGGCAGTTGTGTTGTTGGGTTAGCGTGGCTTGCAATATAATTCTTTTTTTTTTCTGGATTACTTCAGTGATTATATAAAATAATTACTTAAATTATAACTTAGCTTAAAGGTGGTATTTTTAGTTGGTAGACAGTTTTACCATTTTTATTTACAATACGAAAGGAGGTTTCTTCTTCTTAATTAACTTGGAGACTCCTTTCAGTCACGTGTCAAGCGTCGGCATAAATATATATTCCAGTTAATTACGTTTACCTCTCAGGGGCGTTTGTTGGGGTTTAGGTACTAGGTTAAATCATCTAATATTATTTGATTATCATACTTGATTATCAAATAATATAAAATATCGATAATCTTAAAATATTAAAAGTGGTTACTATTAGTAATATTGGAGGTAATCTGATTACTTCTATTTTTTTAGGGTCTACTTGGGAGTTTTCTTTTCACTAGTTGTGGTGGGTTTTTAATTAGATTGGTTTTGAGGTGTTTAAAAACCATTACTTATCAGATTTTTTATGGACTAGTTTTAACTGGTTTAAAAACCTCTCAAAATCAGTGTAATGTATTTTTGAGGGATTTATAAAATACCCCAGGGTGTTTTGGCTGGTTTAAAATTTTTTTTCCAAAAAAACCCCTTTCCACTGCTAAAAACAAGTCACAGAATAGAGGAGCCAGTCATTTCTACTTTTACAAAAGCTAAATCTGCCCTTGTTGCTGCTACAAAGTAGATATTTTTGTCAAGTTTGGACATGTTCCATACATATTTACGAGGGGATCCCAGATTGTACATTTATGTGCATGTCCAAATTCATTTTTAAGAGTTACTCTTTTCTGTCTACATGTTCTGCTCCTTGGCAAAATTTGGTGCTTGAAAAGCTATGTTCTACTTTTTATTTTCATGCCACTCTTTTTCATCATGCTAAATTACTCCCAAAGGTGCATGATCTGGAATATTAATACTTGTTAAATCTTCAATGTTTCTTTAATTGGTTGTTTTTGAAAATTAGAGTGCATGGATGCTTCAATTTGGTTCCCTATATTCAAACTATTTATTTTTCTGAACAGTTCTCTTTCAGAGTTTGTTGTTCTTGGATATGAATTGGGTTATTCAATGGAAAACCTGAACTCATTGGTAATGTGGGAAGCTCAATTTGTCTTCTTTTGCATATATTTTCAGCAAATCTAGTTGTTGAGTGGAAGTCAAATTACTAAGTATGCTAATAGTGCCATCATAACGAATGTCATCAACTAAATTACATATTTTAGTGAGAACATACAAATAAATTAAATAATATACAATGAAAGAACTTACAAATAAATTAAACTTGGAAGGAACTTTATTACTAAGTATTGGTAATTGAAAAAAAAAACTCTCAAGTACTGGTTGAAGTTGGGGTATTTTTATGGGCATATATATAAATTTATCATTTTAACAAATTGTCAGAACCGTTGGAAAATAAACTCCCAAGCACAGGTTGGGTGTTTTAAAAGCCGCTACTGAAAACCCCTCAAAACCGCTACGATGGTTTACCCTCAAAACCGCTACGATGGTTTACCCTCATAACTGCCACCATGAAACTCCCAAGCAGACCCTTAGGTATTCTAAGATTACCCGGGTTATCTTTTTTTGTTACAACTCTATCACTTATTAATAAATTTTTAGGACAATAATGCCTTTATTTTTAAATTTATTTACATGAATATAGTTTTTACTATTTTACCTAAATTAATTAACTTTTTGGGCAAAATTACCCTTGAATTCAAAACAAATTGTGGCCCACCCCCACCCCCACCCACCTGCCGCCGCTGCCATCGGAAACCATCGCCGTGGCCAGCTAACCCTGCCGCCGTAACGACGCAAGGAAGGCCGAAAATGGCCGCCGTGCGCCAATGTGGTCGTGCGTCAAAGGCCAAATCTATCACGTCTGGCCATTTCTGGCCAGATCTTTGGCCGAAAATGGTCATACGGCGCACGGAGGTCATTTTCTACCTTCCGTACGCCGTTAGGTTGCCGACGGCTGGCAGTGGCTGGGTTGGTGGGGGTGCTTTATTGATTTTCCAAACTTTTATTATGGGGTTGTTTTTGCTAAGTTTTTAAATGCAGGAGGGTTATAATAATCCAAATAATAATCAATATTAAAAAATAATATAATAATAATATTTAATTAGAGGACAATTCAATAATTTAAATAACATACCCACCAATTAACCAAACATATTAATATAACATACCCACCAATTAACCAAACACATTTTCTTAAAGATTCTCAGTAATCTTCAAGTTAATCTAACTTTTCAATAATCCAACATTCCTAGTAATTCAATATTCCCTAAACCAAATGCCTCCTACGGGGTTTAACTGCATTATAAAAGTTGTTGAAGCTTAAAATCGAATGCAAATAATAAAATAAGTTTCTTTATTTGTGAAATAATTTTATATTTCTTTATTTTAAAAGATTTTACATATTATTACAATATTATGTTTCTTTATTATGTAGTTTAATTTTTATATAAATAGGCGATGTATACAACAACTCAATACAATACAATTCATCTGAAAATATCTCTTAGACATACTCCAACTCTTCAATTATCTCTTTTGTCATTTCAAATATATCTCGGACATACTCTGACTTTCTTCAAATTACCTCTTTTGCCTTCTCAATTTTGACATGGTATTAGAGTTCCTCTCTCAATTTTGATATGGTATTAGAGCTTTCAGGTTGAATCAGCTTTCGCTCAGCTAGCCTCTCTTTTATGCCACTATAATCAAGCAGTTATTCGGTTAGCACAATACTCATATAGTCTCTCTTTCTATACCTGCAATTCAAACAGATACTCGGTTAGATTTTTCCAATGGTAAACAACCAAAACTCAAGTAACAACCAATTGCTCTAGATGTTGAATCAGCTTCCGATCGCCAGTGCGACAACCACGTATGCAAGCAACATTCGCATCTATTATGCAAGCTTGTGGCTTATGACCACAAGTTTTAGGGGGAGTATTGAAGTGCAAAATGGAATGCAAATAATATGTTTCCTTAATTGTGAAGCAATATTATGTTTTTTTATTCTATGAGATTTTAGATATTATTACAATATTATGTTCTCTAATTATATATAGCTTAATTTTTTGTATAAATAGATTGTGTATACAACAACTCAATACAATTCAATTTAATACAATTGAATTCATCTAAAAAAAATATTTTTGACATACTCCGACTCTTCAATTGTCTCTCTTGCCCTCTCAAAGATATCTTAGGCGTACTTCGACTTTTTTCAAATTGTCTCTTTTGCCCTCTGATTCTAATAAAAGTCTTGTAACTTGAAGTAACAAATATATATTTTTACATTATAATAAATAATTAAGGGATAGAATATGTGTTTTTAAAATTGAAACAAGATCAAAATAAGGACTATTTTAGTTTTAAACAGAAAAATAGTACTAATTACCCGGTTATGTAAACATTTATTAAATTTGAGGAACTAAATTTAGTATTTTAAAATGTAAGATATACACATAATTAACCAAAACCTTTAATGAATAATGTCTTCCTTTTTTTTTTTTTTTTTAACTTAAAAATGTTACTTTAAGACATTTAAGTACAACATAAATAAACATAAGATTGTTGATTGGTCCATTTTGTGAAAACCCAAAGCTTATCTTTTTATCTCCCTTTACTACTGATATGGCACCTAAGTTTCAATTTATTTTCTTTTCTATTTATAAAGTTTCTTTCGAAAAAGAAGTTTCTTTTAGGCTTTAAAACATAAACACGCTTTAGGTTTAGTATAAGTTAGTTAAATCTAAAGGTTTAAACAAGTAATATTACATACTCAAATGTTATTATATTATGAAATTTTCATTTAAAAGGTAACCATTGTTACTCAAATCGATTATCAAATATGTAAAATCTTACAAAAGTATACAAAAATCCTTTGTCCTATTTGATTATAAATAAAAATAGACAAAATAATAATTAGATATAATAAATATAAAAAAAATCCTAAAAATGTTTTTTATGAAAATATATATTTTTATCCAATAAAACTAAGATAATAAGTGTTCAAATAAAAGAAGAAATAATTATATAATATTTAAAAATAATAATATAAAAATGCGAATTATAAAATCATATTTTGTTTAATTTTGAGTAAATTTCCAACGTTGCCCCTCCATATAACAGATAAAACTGATGACAGTTAGCTTTTAATGGAAATGTCGTTATATTTTAACATTTGTGTTTATAATGTTATTTGTTTAAATTTCTGGATCTAATTTACTTACATTAAATTTGAAGGGTATTTATGTTTTAAAGCTGTCTCTAGTTTAATCTATCTTAATCTGAGTTTATTTATAGTTTTAAAGCTGTCTCTTATACGGTTATATTTAAAAATTTTATTCATATGATTGCCAAATGTTATAATGTGCCCCCCAAAAAAAAAAGAAAAAAAAAAAAAAAAAATAGTATTAAAACTTAAAAGAGCATCTAATTTTATAGATAAATAATTTTTTTTTATGTGTAATATTTTGAGTCATTCATAAAGAACAAAGTTTAAAATAAAAAAAGGGTTTAATCGGACATTTTGATTTATTTATTAAATACAATAATAAACTTTTTTTCTTAGGAACAGAGCAAACTGGCAAAGTGAAGTTTATTAAACTGGTAAATAATAGATTTATTTATATATTTTTTTTAAATAAAATTCTAAAACCCTTGTCTCGTAGAAGTTCTAAAACCCTAAACCCACTTTCATCGCAGAGCTGTTGGCATTCTCTTCCACCATTAATCGAGAAAAAATAAAGAATTAATACCAACCTAAAAAAATCCTGAAATGGTTTCTCGTTATTCTTTGCGCAGCTTCTCCTTCTCTGCAACTAAAAAGTCCATGTTGGCTCTTGTTTCTCACTTGTCCCAACCCCAAAACTACAGTTCCCTTTCTAGAATCACCAGAAGCTACGCTTCTGTTTCATCTCCACTGTATAAAAAACCCTTCAATCCTCCATTTCAAGGTACCCTTTTCTCTCTTGTTTGAGTTTCATTAAATGGCCTTCTCTTGACTCACTTTTATTTTTATATTTTTATGTCTAATAATATTTTTATCTTATTTTTTGTTGATTTTTATTATTCAAGTAAAAATTGAAATTTTCAAATAAGTTAGGATATCTGAAAATGGGCAAGTAAACAAAATGTTTTTGCGCTGAGGACTAAAATAGAGTAATGAAATAAGCAAACAACAAAGTATTGAGCATGTAAGAGCAAAGATATATGATCATGTTTGTTTCCGGGAAAGTAACACCTAATGTCTATTCAATTACGAAAATACACTCAAAATGTGTATATTATGTTCATGTATTAGCGAACCACAGTACCAAATTAAGAACTTGTTGAATGTCATGTTTACTCAGTGAATGCTACTATGTAATTGGGTTTTTGAAACTTCCTAAGATCATGTAATTATTTCTCTGGAAAACATTGAGAAAAATTGGAGGCTACGTGTAATCAATGCTTGATGAAGTTTGGCCACTTGGATTGTAGTTTTAACTGATATTCGGATGCTAATCTCTTGTAGTGAGATCGGTGGCAACTACTCCTGAAACTGTTGCTGGGTTTGATGAGATGGTTGCTGGGACTCAACGCAAGTATTACATGTTAGGTGGAAAGGGAGGTGTTGGAAAAACAAGTTGTGCGGCTTCTCTTGCTGTGAAATTTGCTAACCATGGGCATCCTACTATTGTGGTATCAACTGACCCTGCCCACTCCTTAAGTGATTCTTTTGCTCAGGTATTAAATTATACTTCCATGTTTCGGCTTAACCTTGATCCTGTTGGTTGTTGTCTTCAATTATCTTGGGAAGCTCTGTTATGATGCATATTGTTCATTCTCTTAAGGATTTGACTGGAGGAAAGCTTGTACCTGTTGAAGGAGTGGATTCTCCTCTATTTGCTCTTGAGGTATTGGGAAACAACCACTAAAATGATGTCGTAATAGTTCTGTTGCTTCATGTGCACTTGGGGCATATTTAAATTTAGCATCTTTACAGATAAACCCTGAGATAGCTCGGGAAGAATTCCGTTCTGCCAGTCAAAAGAGTTCTGGCGGTGGCATGAAAGATCTTATGGATAGCATGGGCCTTGGAATGTTAGCTGATCAGGTGAATAATTACCCAAGGCCAGTATTCCATTATGTATGAACTCTCTTAATATGTTGATATGTTTATTGACGTTGGAATGTTAGAAGACCAAATTGTGCTTTATCTTTGGTTAAGAGGTGATTTTGATGTTTTGATTTTAATGAATAAAGTCATTGTCCTTAATATCATTGAGCGGACCTTGGGACTGAATTGATTTTCTATTACTAGTTTATTGGTTAGCAGTGCTGGAGAATTAAAGCTACTGAATATAGAACTTAGGTAATTCAGAAGTGGTTTAAAACCTATTTACTCTTATGCCTCAATATTTGCAGCAAAGTTGCAGCTCCTTGTATTTATTTAGATTCTACTTTTCCAATAAAATTGTTTGTTGGTCTTATTTTTATATTATACTCTTTTATGCTTTACCTTTTACATGTGGTCTTTTGAATATGTTGCAGTTAGGGGAACTAAAACTAGGAGAGTTGCTGGACACTCCCCCACCTGGTCTGGATGAAGCTATTGCAATTTCAAAGGCATGCATAATCTCCTATTATTTATTTAATTAATTTTTAACTAGCTCTACTTTGTCTTTATTATCATAGCTTTTCTTCTTGGTTCATTGCATTTTTGCTAACCCCACTGCTGCTTACCAGGTTATGCAATTTATAGATTCACAAGAATATAGTACATTTACTCGGATAGTGTTTGATACTGCACCCACGGTCAGTTCATTCATTTTCTTTACAAGATGTTTTTATGTATTAGTTATTCATTTTATTTGCAATTGGTTTATAGGGCCATACACTCCGGCTTCTGTCCCTACCTGACTTCTTGGGTGCATCCATAGGAAAAATAATGAAGGTATACATAATAACCCCTGAGTTGAAAGTGAAACTTATTCTTTGGTTCAGCTTGATGATAAGAATGGCCAAATAATATCATAATATTTAAACAATTTATTTAAAAGCAATGCAAATTTAGAAGAGTTAAGGATGTTTTATTATTGATTATGTCATTGATTTGTTTACTATTCTATCAAGGGGCTAGAGGCTCCAGGTTTTTCTTTCGAACTCGAATTTTTGTGTAAAATTGCGAATGCTGTTACGGAAAAGCTAGTGGCTCAGCTGTAACTTCTTTGGTTGCTTTTACATAATCCAGATGAAGGAGAAGTTAGCTTCAGCAACTTCAGCTCTCAAGTCTTTTCTTGGGAAAGAAGAAACACGGCTAGATGCTGTAAGCATGCAGTTTCTTTTTGAGATATCCTCTGCTGTTTTTAATCTCTGACCATTTTTTGTTTAAATATGTAGCCTCACAAGCTTGAGCAACTAAGAGAGAGGATGGCAAAAGTGCGGGACCTTTTCCGCGACAAGGACACAACCGAATTTGTTATAGTGACAATTCCTACGGTATTTCGGAGTTTTACTTTTAATATGGATTACAACATTTTATTTGGTAAAATGAAGCAAAAGCACCCTGTCTGACTTAATTGTAAGTAAGCTACATCGATTTTTGGAATATGTGCTAGCTTGTAAGTCTCTTCCTGATAAGAAACTTCAGTATCTCTCGATTGATTTTTTAGTGATAATTTCCTCTATTTGCCGTAAGAGCAAGATTAATGTGTTTACTACTTGATCGCAAGATTTTAGTGAGATTTTGCAACATCATTTTGCACTATAAGCCTTTAGAATCACTAATAAATGTGTATTTATGAACTGTGAGCCACAATTGGATTGGGTTATATTGGGAGGAAGAATTGATATTTTTGTCTTTCGTATCTTACATAATTTTCAATAAATGTTTTTGTTTGTGCTTCTGTGATTACTTTGTGACTTTTAACATTACCATTTTAAGGTTATGGCAGTGAGTGAGTCATCAAGGTTACACGCATCCTTGAGGAAGGAAGGTGTTCCTGTTCAGAGGCTTATTGTTAATCAGGTTCTACCTCCATCTGCATCAGACTGCAAGTTTTGCACAATGAAAAGGAAGGTACATGTAATTCTTCCTTATGCGTAATAAGAATGATAGCATTTGTTATGTCAGCAACGTGAACCATGATGTGATACACTTACAAACACTTTTGCATGTATTGCTTGACAAAACTATTTATATATTCTTACAACCATTGCAGGATCAGATGCGTGCCCTTGATATAGTAAAGACTGATTCAGAGCTTGCCAGTTTGAGATTAATCCAGGCACCTTTATTTGATGTAGAGATAAGGGGTGTTCCTGCTCTTAAATTTATGGGGGATGCAGTTTGGAGATAAAATTATCGACTTCAGAATATCTGCGTATGATTTTGTGAGCTATCTTGTCCTAGAAACCACCTATTCATATCTAGCAACTAGTTTTGTTTAATTTAATATAGTTACTGAGCGATCTTCATTAATATGATGGCTGGGACAAAGGGGCGAATGAACTTTTTTGTGGTTCCTTCTGTGAGTTATGCTCCCGGTATATAATATTGTATTTTCTCCATCTCTTTCTGTCGATTTATGTATATCTGTTTGGTCAGTCCATGAAAACTGATTCTAAAATTTGTGGTTGACATGTGAACCTCAGGAATGCTGTCACTGATTTTGAGTTAGGATGATGCGTACGTACAAAGATTTATGCTTTTAAGTAAACAAAAATGAAAGTGCGTGGAATAGTTTTGGCTTCTAATGTGAAGTGACTCATTCAAGCTGGTTATATAGAGGATTGGAGGAGACTTACATGTGGAAAGTGCACAAAAAAAACTCAATAAACTAACAATGCTGCTGACAGGAGTTGTCCTTGTTATTTGCCGGGCTGTCTGCTGAGAGTCGAATCACTAAAACGATCTTCTCATTTCCAGCTGGTAGAGCTCTTGGTTGAAACATTTTCTCTTTGATGTTATGAAACATTAACATTTACTTTATTTCTATGATTTCTTATGGAAATGATGCTGAATGATTAATAAGTAAACATGAGTTTGGTGGACTTGAATGATGCACGAAATCTGAAATTTCGTTTTATTTCAACCAATTATTTTATTATTATTAATGTAAGATCTAGGGATGTTATGAAACATTACATGTTTCTTTTAAAAATGCAATCACCCCAGGTCCTGATTTCCTCAACTTGTTCAACAATCATAAAATTGACCAGCTGGAAGCATATTTCACAAGCCTTACTATAAACCTCTATACATGATTCAAGATGCAGCCATCTATTTACACTAAGAAATACATTGTGTATGGGATTGTACCAAAATATTTCGATAGGCGATGGATTCCTAGAGGTCAAACAACTCTTCAAGAATTTGTTTTTGTACAGAAAGGGTGAACAGAATACAAAGAGAAAAGCTGAATCTATTTCTTTTGGAAGGAAAGCATACAAAAGAAAGCAACTGAACGGCTAAGTACACCGGTAACAAAAAGGTATATTAAGTTAGGAAAAAAATGTTTGATATTAAACCCTTTGGCGAAAAGTGTACCGCATCTTGTTATTAGCCAGACTCCAGGATATCTGAAGAAAGCACAAAAGCACAGTGAAATCAACACGAATGAACTTTTTCAAAAAGTTTATGCATACTGTGAAGGGTAGTCATGTCAAACCTTTTAGCATTTGCTATCACAAATGCTTCCATGGCCCATTTAGTGTAGCACAGGTTGGATAGTTTCTCTATAACTATGTTAGCTTCATTTTGGTTCGCTACTAGAGTCAAAACAACTGGAAGTAGCACTGACCACTGCAGAAAACAAAATGGGGTTGTAAGAGGAAGAATAAGCGATATATGTACCTTGAAGCTAGGTAGTTTTGCAGGCAAATGTCAAAATGCTTACCAGTTGAGCTGGTCCAGGTTCAAAACAGATGGCCAAAACATATGCTATACCAGTCACACAATACACCAGACACAGTAAAACCAGATAATTATCGACCACAGATGATCGTGGATTGTTGAAGAAGTAGAACATGGAAAGATACACCAGAGGCTTGATGAGTGTATTGAAATGGTCGACTGTATCCTTTGCAAGAAAGTAAGCAAGGCTGCTCATGCCAGAAGCACTCTCTCTCCAGTAGTGAAGTTTATCCAGAGAAAAAGATCTCAAAGCCGCAATCTTGCACAGGAGAGCTGCAAGTGTATCAAACTTTGTTCAAAAAATAACTTTAAAAGGGACCCAATAAGCTTTGCCAGCAAAAAAGACTACTTGGAATTTGTAGGAATAGAGATCGGATTAAGGTAAATTAAAATTATTTGAGTTATGCGTTATCCCAATTTTGAATGAATTTAAGTCCAAAACTTCAAGGAAGTGCATTCACTGAAGTGCAGCGATTGTAAAACATATCTAAGAACTCAATAGGCAAATTGCAATTTGAATGAAACGAATCTAAACATTACTGCAGGTCCAAGAAACCAAAAGATTTGAACTTACAAACTGCAATCACAGTGTATGTATAACCCGTTGCACCAAAAGTTTCATCACTCACTTTGGCCAGTGTTCCTAAGCAGATTCCAGCAAGTAATAAAATTAGATAATCTACAGCTTGAGTTCTAGCTTCTCGTAGCCGCTGCTTACCAGCCCTGAAAAGGAGCCAGTTATGTAAAGTATGAGTCACTAGAAGAAAGATAAAGTTGATGGCCCTAAGCAGCCAAAAAATATAAACAGTACTCTTAAAAAATCAATTTTTTTTCCAACAGAAAATTCTTAAAACTCCTGATGACTACAAATTGTACCCCGACTTGCCAAAACACTATGCTGATGGGGTAATTTTCTATGCTCAAATAGAAACTTCGTTTTTTTGGGACTGTAAAAGAAGATTCAATAAAACACTTTTTGGGAAAAAAAAAAAAAGGTAACAAAATGGACAGGTCAAGATTCAAGAAGAATAGGATGCTGGATTGTGTTTAACATGAAACTAAGATTCAGCATGTACCTGCCAAGAAAGTATCTATACTGTTGGAAAGCGTCAGGGGTTCTCCTCAGAGATAAGTCCCCCGAACTCAAGAAATTATGTTCTAAGCTGTCCCTCTTAACCTGAATACTACATTTTACATCCTCCCAAAAGTCTCCAGCGAAAGAATGAGCTTCAGATCCATCAGATATATTTCCACCAACCATGTTTTCTGCAGATGCTTCTATTCCTTCTGCACTCCTTAGCATATCTATGGGAACTGAATATCCATTATGAAGCATCCATCTAATTGGAAGTTGTTTATAATTGACCCCTGAACTAGTGCTTGGTTTTAAAATGCCTTCCAAAATGTCGATAAAATAATCTGGAGGATTGACACGATCAGGAACTGTAATTCCAAGGCGAGAAAAGTACTCTTCAACTTTCTTCACTGATCCATGATATACTGTAAGACCTCCCTTGGCAAGAAGTATTAAATCATCAAACATCCTGTACAAGGTGTAGCTGAAGCCGGAAAAGAATAGAACCAATTGTTTTTAGCTATGTGAAACGTTTACTGGGCTAAAAATAATATAACTGAATGCAAGATAAACTAAATTCATCTCACTACAACCATTTACAAACAGAAGAAACACAATAAGAGAGGAAAACATGAAAAGTAGTACGTCCATTGGATGTACCATCTTGTAAATGTAAAGTGTAAGCTTTACCTTGGTTGGTGAACCACCATGCAAATATTTACTCCTTCAAGAGCTTCGCGTCGAAGAGCTCTAAGAAGTAACTGAGAAGATGAGCTATCCAGACCAGATGTCGGTTCATCTAATATTAGAAGTGAAGGTTCCATGACCATTTCCAGTCCAACATTTACTCGTTTCCTTTGACCTCCAGAGATCCCCCGCTTCTCCACTGTCCCAACCAGAGAATCCCTTACATGCTGAAGCCCCAGGGACTCAATTACTCTTTCCACAACAAGCACCTTTTCTGGTTTTGGAAGATCAGCGGCAAGTCTACAATAATTAGTGATCTAGTTAATCAAAAAGAAAGGGTCCTATTGCCAATACCAGTATATAGGTTTTAATTGAAATGAAAGCTTCTGATATAATCATTAAATCTTAAAATTGAAGGTTCAATGAATTGATTATATAATACAAAGTATTGTATGAAATTTTAGTAGGTTATCAAACAACAAACACTTGTGTTAAAAATTAAACTTAATCATACAATGAAGAAGGGTTCTAAAGGTGCTTTAAAAAATTCACATTGGGAATCCATATGCAGCAGAAACAACCATATGATTAACCATCTTACTAATTAAGCCAAAAGTCACAGGCAGCTAGAGATATTTTACATCTCTCTAAAACCATGCACAACTTCCACAATTTAAGGATTTGTTACATGATTATACACAATAAATATAGTTCAAAAGACGTATTTGCTCAAAGTATATGTGACTGGAATGATGGATTAAATTTTATGTACCTGCAGCTTGCACTGAACCATAGATTTTCTTCCACAGTCAAATTTCCGTGCACAATATCATCTTGTGGCACAAAACCAATAATTTTCTTGTATGATTGAATTGACTCAACCTTTCCATTTACAAGAATCATACCACTCATGGTGCACCCTGGTACTTTTCCACTTAGAGCAGAGAGAAATGTTGTTTTTCCAGCTCCGGATGGGCCCATGACAGCTGAAACTCGGCCAGGGGATAATTTCCCGGTCACACACCTCATCAGATGTTTGTTTTTGCCTTTCAAAGTAATAGTCAAATCTTTAAATGCAACCTCAATAGCAGGCCTCTTCCTGATGTCAATTTCATTGGTCATCGAGATTACCCCAGAGTATGTCAAGTTTTTGTTCTCCTCCTGCATAGCCTTTTCTTTCTCAATTTGACCATATGCATACCTGAACATTTGGCTTTGAGTATGCAACTGCTTACCCTTTGGTGTATGCCTTTTAATATTTTTGTCTCCAATCTCCAGATTGAAGCCATCTTGACTATCAGGATTGTCCTCAATTTCATTTAACATCTCTGTGAGTTTCCTTTTTTCCTTTTTATTATGTTTTGATGCTGGAAGCGGTGGAGCAGCCATTGACATGGATGATAAGGCAGCATCTGTTCCAGGTTTAGCATGACCTAGACTTTTCAGAGGGTCCAGTTGCTTTAAAGATTTTCTTCGAGAAAATGTTCGAGATAGCTGCGTTTGAAGATCAACTGCACGCTTCCTAGCAATTTCTTTTGCAGATTTCCATTTTTCACGCGCTTGTGCTGTTTCTCTTACACTTTGAACTGCTTTTTCCCTGGATTTTGCTTGCCTTTTCTCTCGAGTTGCTAGCACTTGGTCAGAGCAGCTATATATAATAAGAAGCACGATACTTAATCCCCCCTGCATTGAATAGTGAAGGTTTAGACTTAGAGATTACAAAATAATTTAGAAATACAATCTGTGCAGAGATTGAAGATAGGCCTATGAGAATAGTTGTTTGAGGATTCAGACAGGAACATATATCAACAAATAAATGCCTCTTTACAGAAGACTGTCAAAAACTTTCATTTCGCAGTTTCAAAGATGAAAACAAGAAATGTGAGAAATATAAAGTGTATGTGTTCTCTCTTAAGCCTTTGAAAAAAATATTTATGGACAAGTTGCAATGAATCCAGCATTCTCCAAGGTAATGAAGGAGGGCCTCAAAAAGCACAATTAGTCCATTCAACTTGGAACATGATTTGTTACATGAGTATACACATTTTGCAAAGATTTAGCATGCCTCCAGTTTCCCATAAATTAATACTCAATGAGCTACTAATTTGCTTTGCAATGAGTGAATCTGAGACAGCAATTTGAATCATAAATGAACTTCATAATTCATTGTGACAGAATAGCTTATTCCACAGGTTTAGGGTCTCTGAGGATCACCATTATCAACAGTGATCATTTATTAAATGGTGAAGTAGTCACTCACAAACAATAATATGCCATATGCAGTGATATTTTGAGTTGTTGAATTGGGATGACAAGTTGCCAACCGGAAACACTCTGCAAGTTCAGTTGAAAAGGTCATAAGCTCTCTGAGTAAACAAAGTTAATGAAGTAAATAAACGTAAACTCAAAAACAAATTGCTTTATTAACAGATATACCCAATGCCAATTAAAAAGAGTGCATCCAAATATTCTTTAACTAGGACTCTGGAAATGACATTAATACAACATAATATTGTCTTTGACTAGATGCTTGTTCATAGTGGCCATACCTAGATTGCACTTACACTTCCCACATCAGATTCACTAATGTTTATATTTCTACTGAAGTCATTGCCTAACAAGTTTCTTATTATTAGAGAGTTTAATACTATTTTTTGGTCAGTCCTAACTTGAAGTTTTTGTTCAAGTTGTTACTTAACACTTCTATGGAAATAATAATTATATCACACTCAAATAGCAGATTGAGTTGATTATTGTTCCAGAAGGGGGAACAAAATACAAAACATTTGAGCAGATTACATTTTACAAGTCTATCATGATAAAGGAGAATTCTAATGCTGTGCTTTTTTTTTTCCCTTCCTTGCAGCAGGATCTTATTGCCCGTCTCCTGTGTTTAGTATCTATTTTTGGAAACTAAAGCCACATCAATTCTCTAAAGTCAAAAATCTTTGAAGCAATGATACCAAATATGATTCTCAATATGCAATATAGAACTAGTCAAGGAAAAGCTTACGCTCTTGAGAAGTTGAACCCAACCTACAGTAATGCCTGAAATAAAATACAGAAATTAATAAAATTAGTAATACAGCGGGA